TGATCTGCATTATCTGCAAAGGATCCCACAACTCATACGTTTCTTTGAAATAAACAATATACGAACAATTCGTATTACTTTCGCCGACGCAAAAATACGCTTTGATCCAAAAAAATATCAATGTTGCCATTATTGGGATATATCGTTTAAATTAAAAGAAATTCGCATGCGATTTTCTTCTTTGTTTCAACGAAATTGCCTCCATTACAAGAATAATTGCTCTCTCGGAAAATGCGCCTTAGAGAAATGTCGTTTTCTGTGGAAAATAAGGTTTGAAAATTCGATATTTGTAAAAAGAAAACTTAAGCAAAAAAATTACTCCTAAATATTATTTATAAATTAAAACTGATATTTCATTGTCCATACTATTATAATAAAGAGGATAGATATGATTGTTATTTTGTATACATCCATTAGGCTCATGAAAAAAAAATGATCATCCATCCGGTTACAGACCTTTGCGAACGTTGCTTAACTTCCACAATTATAGAACAAACGTAGTAATCACTTTATCAATGAGTTTCTCACGTGTTTATTAATAATATTTTGTTACTAATTTATTTATTTAGAAACCAACGGCGTTACAATTTGGTTACAGGTTTCTTATTTAAGTAATTCGTGTAACAGATAATACTTGTACAGCAAAAAAAAACAGACAATCAGATGTACTGTCAAAATTAAGACAATGTATATTTTTTAAGTATTATGGCCTGCCCCGCTGAGTGTGAGTGAGGCGTACACCTTCATCATCATCATCAGCCCTTTTACGTCCCCACTGTAGGGGCTCAGGCCTTCCTTATGGATGGTTGAGGAGGATAGGCCATGACCCTCCACGCTGGCCCAATGCGGATTGGAGGGTATTAACGACTGCAAATGCAGCCGGGACCAACAGCTTAACGTGCCTTCCGAAGCACGGAGTAGCTCGAGATAATAATTTTTTGGTCACCCATCCCGTGACCGACCCTTGCGAAAGTTGCTTAACGACAACGATAGCGGGCCGCGGCGCTTATCCACTACGCTATCGAGCGTACACCTAATACTTTATAATTTATACCTTATGGTTATTACACGTTTGAATTGGCGCTATCTAGGATTCACAAAGCGCTTTATTCGTTTGTGGTTGAAACTTACTTTTTTTTAAATATAGCGCAACTGGAATCACCACTCAATTTTCTTCACTTTTACTCGTAAGGAGATCGAGCCCAGGCATAGGTCATCAAGACGTGTATGCAATATAATATCGAAGAGATCTGTGACAGATTTCGACAGTCTGTGCAATTTTTAATCGACGTTGAAATAAGAAACAGGAGGTTATATTCTTAATGAAAAATGCTTAAAATCCACTTTGTCTCTAGTAGTCTGAGATTTAAGTATCTTCATTAAAAATGTTTTCTAGTATAGCATTGTGAATGCAAAATTAATCGAATATAATAAGGAGATTATATGTTCGACGGCGATGTATGTTAACCGATATTTCCGCCAATTGTTGACCGATTTACAAAATTCCTCGATGGAGGGGGTCCCATTTAAATTTTATTGAAATCGAATCAGTAGTTTTTCTTTCATAACAAAACAAAATACGCGTTTCACCAGATATCACCTTAATAGATGATATGATATGCCATGACCCATTTCATCTTAAAAACAAAAAAATAGCGTATTTTGAATTCATTGCAAATCCGAAAGAAGGATTTTCTGAGTTCAAAGAGTATGTATATTTTTATGAAAGTAGGTATGTACATCGAATTATCTTGTATAGTGAACCAATTTCTATGATTTTCCCGCGATTTCGATGCGTGAATTATAGCCTATATTATGAAGCTTTCCGTAGATGAAAGACTTTTGTAAATCAGTTCAATAGTTTTGGAACCTATCCAAGTCAAATAAATAAGCAATCAAATCTACCCCCTTTATGATATGAGTATAGATTATTGGAAAAAGTTACGTCGAGCAAATAAACAAAATCATGTTTTCTAAGACTTTCACTGTGTTAAATAATTTAATTTACATAAATATTTTTAGTGTTACCTGTTTTATAAAAAATAACAATATCACTAAAATGCAAGAAATAAAAACTTTTTACAAAAAATAGAACTGACTTCACACTTCAAAAAAGTTTTATCAAAAGAAAATAGAACTAACTTCAAACTTTAAAAAAGTTTTATAAATTACTTTTATCAAAAGCGACTTATACAAGAAAATTCTATTGAAATCGGGAAACTATATTAATTAACAACCTACAGATAAACTCCTCCCGGATTCAATGGCATTTTTTTTAATAAGTCGTTCTTGTGATTAATTTACATTTTTAACGTTTAAAGTCTATTGACAAAAGTTTTTTTGAAAAAGTTTTATCAATAAACATTGCGATAAGAGTTTTGGGTACGTGATTCGTGCTATAGTGCTCATCGATTATGAATCACATCACATCGGGCCATTGCTATTGGAGTTTTGAAATTGAACAAAGCAACCCAATAGAATTCGAATACATCAGTTTACATTTAAAAATGTCTTATGATGAAAATAAAACAATACATAACGTATTGTAGAATAATAAAATATTAAGTTAGAATAATATAAAGTTTTAGTTACAAGAACAAAAAAAAGACGAAGGAAAGAAGAAAGTATAATGAAAATAGCCATTAGTGTAACGTAACTAGTTATTCTATTTTCTCAGTTGTCAGACCTTCGTCTTCATGTTCGGTGTCCTTATTCTGAACTACTTCGGTTATATTGAACGAGAAATACAGTACAAATTATTTTCTGAGTAATTTACCTATAATTAATATTATTATAAAAATATTATTAGTAACAAATCGTAATGCGACTCCAGAATTTTGTACTAAATATGGATATCGTGCGATAAAGTCATATCGGCAAAAAGCAATTCAAAATTAAGACCTAGGGAACCTACAGTGGGTTGAAAAGTAACCTACTTGTATTGTTTATCTATTGTTAATAATTGTGTGTGAGCAATTAAGTGTATATCTATCTATCTATCTATCTACTTATGTGTTATTCCAAGATTAATCATAGGTTACTTTTATCCCACTAATTTCATCAATAAATTCTTTGAATTACGTTCAGTCGTTTTCATGTGAAGAAGTGTCAAAACATAGAAACTTGTTTTAGGTTTTTTATTGCTCCCAATTAGGAACACATGTTTCTCGCTCTCTTAAAATTTACCAAAGATTTACCTTTAGGGAGTTTTTATTAATATTTTGCTATAAAAGAAAAGAAATGAAGAAAGAAGGAGATTAATTTTCATATTCCGATTGTAAAATCGTTCTTATATCGGGAACACTTACAATTACACATATTTTTCGTACACTGTCCGACACAAACACTTGACTATCGGCCGGTATAACTTAAGCTTTTTACATTTCAAATGGCAAAAAGTCCTAGTTTTATCAAATTGCCATCAACTGATCATTAATAAATTATGAATCAGTAATTAAAACCTATTCAATTGACGTTTAAAATGACCTTAGCACGGTTCGAGATGTGCTCAACTTCAAATTCTCAATTCAGAAACCGAGTGTATGCATCACAGTTCTTAGTTTTCAGTAACACTCAAATGCACACAAACTTAGATTAAAATTGTCATTGTTTTAAAACGACATTATCGATAAAGATTATCATTAAAGAAACTTAAACTCATCAATTAACCAAAGAAAAGGGTCAAGCTTTTGATTTCCTTGCATTATTCTGTTTACCTTGTATTTTCCTCCTCTCGTATGGTTTGATAAATATTTTCTTCTTTTATAGAATTACGAACTTAACAAAGTTTTGATTCTCTTCGTAAAAATATAATGAATATCTTCCAAAGTAAGATACTGCGCAATCACGCACTGTCCACCTTCAAATACTCAAAAGTTTGACTTTGTTTTCTTTACTTTGGGTAAAGTTTGATGGGTAAATATATTTTTCTGCCAATTCATTCTTTGTTTGTGAATATAAAAATCAAAATCTTTTATTATTATTTTATCTTAACGATTTGTTATTTCATTGATCATCATATTTTATGTCATCAGTATTTTGGAATGTTATTTTACGGGAGTTCTGTGGCATAATGATTGGACGGTCGATCTGCGAATCGGAAGTTAAGCAACTTTCGCAAGGGCTCGTCATAGGATGGGTGGCCAAATTTTTTTTATTTCGTGCTCCTGTTTCGAATGGTACATTGAGTCATTGGCTTGCATCAACAGTCATTAACACTCACCATTCCGTACTGAGCCCGTATAATGGGTCATTGCCATTATCCCTATTTGTTTAATTTGATTACATCCACAGGGTAGGCCGGTGCCCCCATAGAGCGGACAACAATAAGCTGATATTATAGTGTAGATATTAAAGTAATCGTTAATTTCTTGACGTAAATATAAATTAATAAATATTAAACAACCCCATAGACTGCTCAGATTCCAAGATGAGTAGCTAAAAAAAACCGTATTATAGAGTATTTGAGACAACGAAGGCACTACAACACCCAGACAATATAGAAAAGTTTTTTTTATATATTGACCCTACCGGAAATGGAACACGGGACCTCAGAGATATACCGTGAAACCGGCAAACGAACCACCGGAGGTCGTCAAATAAAATATAGTGTAAAGTAACCCTGTCACACGACAGGGTTCATGTTATGGTACTGTATTTGTGAAGAATATGTTATATCACCACATGATAGCAATAAAGAATATAGACAGAAACTAATTATAATAAGTTTATTAGTTTAGTTCAATTAGTACATCAAAACTACCACCGTAAATAAACAATTATCACTACGCAATTTCAAACTAATAACAATCACAGTAGTCGAGTAGTTTATATTATACAATTAACCTGAATCTTATCGGTAAAGGTCAATGAAACTGATAAAACTTATCTTTATGAATACAAAACCATAGTATAACCAATCGGTGGCATTGCAAGCAGGATTACATAAATTATGTATTAAAAACAAACCAGTAAAATATTAATTAAAAACAGAAGTAATCATGTTATTAAAATTATTAATTTGTACAATTTTTGTTACTTTAAGTGGTGCTAAAGGAAATGTGGAAATAGATCCATTAATTTATTATATACTGAACGGTGAATACGAAGATCCAAATACACCATCTGAATCAGTTGAAATCCAAGGTAATAATAATAATAATACAAATAACTTAAAATTTAATAATCTTTTTTTACCAGTGATCGTTGAAAATAAGTATAAACTATTATTCTATTAGATCAATTTTGCATTCATAATAATACACTGACAAATATCCTAAGCGAAAAATCTTTAAAAAATTCACTTTGCCCCTAGCACTCTGAGATGAGAGTAGCTCGGTGGCGTAGTGGATAAGCGCCGCGGCCCGCGATCGTTGTCGTTAAGCAACTTTCGCAAGGGTCGGTCACGGGATGGGTGACCAAAAAATTATTATCTCGAGCTACTCCGTGCTTCGGAAGGCACGTTAAGCCGTTGGTCCCGGCTGCATTTGTAGTCGTTAATACCCTCCAATCCGCATTGGGCCAGCGTGGAGGGTCATGGCCCATCGTCCTTAACCATCCATAAGGAAGGCCTGAGCCCCTGCAGTGGGGAAGTAAAAGCGCTGATGATGATGATGATGACTCTGAGATGGCACTCGAACACATAGCCTTTCGCAATCCGGGCGACTGTTCTAACCATTGAACTACCTATGACCTAATAGGACTGACGAATTTGTTTGAAACTGAAGAATAAGTATTATATTCATGCTAGACCCCGAATAAAGTAAATAATTTGTTCAAAATAGGCTTACAACTGTCATCTGGCCAAATTCCATAACATTTGGTCATTTGTCAAAAACTTTTATATCTAGAATGAATTAATCATGCCTCCCGTGTAAATATGAAATGGCTGAGTTTAGATAAATTACTTAACGACTTAACATCTATAGTTCAAAATATAATATAAAAAATATTGTAATGCATATCTTATTTATTATAAGTGAAGAGTTTTTGGTGTCTATTTAATAAGACCAGATCGCAGGCCCAACAAACTTTATTTTTATGAAATATAATTTAAAAAATACGACTGCGTAAAATGAATTAAAACTGAAACAGGGTAAATACTCGTACCGATTTTCTAAAAACACATTGTCTTAAAACATCCATAAGTTAATAAAAAAGCTAACTTGCTCTTCGATTATGTTTCTAAATTATAAATAGTTCCTTTAAAATCGGTGCTAATATAAACTTTTACAATTAATAACATAGAATAATTGACAATCATTGAAATCATGGCGCTTGAAACACCATAGAAATATAGTACACACGGTTATACATCAGGTTACCACAATTTCAAATTTTCCCGTTCAATTTTTTACTCTATAATCAATGTATTAAGGTTGAAAATCAAGTGAAGAGATTTGTCTATTTTATTTACCTAACGTGCTCTTGAGTTTATATCGTAACAATCCTGTATTTGATAATATTTTGAAGAATACAATTGTATGATATTATATTTTATGAACAGGTCAAAGTTTAAATGGTGGTTTATGGAAATGCGGTATGTGTGAAGACATAGGTGAATCCAAGCTTATATACAGTGAAGCCAGCGAAGGAGACGACGCCAACAATCCAAACATGGAAATGAAGGTTATTAAAGTCCAAACTTCTACAATAAACTTTGCACAGCATTGACCTCGAAGGCGAGTACTGTGCTTTAGCATAGAGCTCTGAAAAACAACAAAAAATAAGCATTGTATTGCAAAGCTTATAGTTATGTCGAACCGCGTGGATCGCACGCTGGTGTCGTCATCTCTGAGATTTTCGACATTGTCTCTGGTCTGAGTGATCTTTGTTTCAGACTTCTATAATGCATTAGCTATTTTCTGAGCAATATATGTGATGTTAACTAGCTTTCCGCCAGTGACTTTGCCCGCGGGGTCCCGCATTATACATTTCTCTTGTATCGCTTTATATTAAAGAAAATCAAATAAAAATTCATTGTGTACTTTAGAAGACCTTAGCATACAGACAGCGGGAAGCGTACTTGTTTTAAACTATGTATAGTATAGTATAGACCATTTTATGAAGTAGTTTTTATTTGATCGTATCTCTTTGCTATGACAAAGCTGCCTTCGACGTCGATTTCAATGCTTTTATATTACAAAATAGTACTGGTGATCAAGATTTAATTGATTAGAGTAATAGTTTTTACGAGGTCGCTATCATGTATCTTATTTTCATCGAGACTGTGATTATGTCGCTTAAAAGAGCGCTAAAATACCAGGAATTCGATACACAATAGCAATCCTGTTAGAATTTAATTATACAATATACCAATTCAATAAAGTGTATGTGTATATAAATTACCTGTATAAATTACTACTCTGTAAAAACGATTTGTATCTCATTTCAGTTTAGATATAATATTTTGAGACAGTACTGCAAGTTGGTTCCTAAAATATCTTAAATTATAAAATAAATTAAAAATGACATATAAATATAAGACATCACGTATATTGCTTAGATTTCAAGATGAGTAGCAAAGGCTATTATGGAGTGTCTGATAGAATGAAAGTACCAAAACACCCTTCGAACCTGAGACCGCACCTCGAAACCGGCGTTCAAACCACTATGCTATGAACGATTAGTGTATAATGCAAGGCAGTAACAATTATATAAATTATTATGAACAAACGCGATTTTATAAAAATCCCAACAAAAGTAGTTTGAGCAGATTTTTTAAATAATAATTTATATTTCTGTAAAAGGAATCGAACATCATCACTACCACCACCATCATCGTCATCATTATCAATGTCATCATCATCATCATCGCCATCACCATCAACAACATCATCATCATCACATTCATCATCATCATCAGCCCTTTTACGCCCCCAGTTGCAGGGGCAGTTAAGGAGGAGGAGTCTACTATGTTTAATAAAATTAATTGAATACTGTAGAAAGTCAAATAAGTTTTCTTATTTTCAGATCGAAGTTACAATGATTGGAATGAAATGTGTTATAATTCGAAGCAATTCATCTAATATAGTCAAGAGTGTAAAAGGTGATTGCGAAGGTCCCTCAGTCACTCTGACACTATCGCCTAACAAGCTATTTGTATTAGACGTGTATGGTCATATGGATTTAAATGAAGATGAGGGAAGCATGTGATTTAATTTTTATGATCTTGTAATATACATTTACTGTGCACAAATCTATACCATCAAAATCATAAATAAATTTCCAGTTTTTATGCTAATATTAATTATTTTTAATCTTAATTATATGAATATTATGAAAATGAAAAGTTTAATTTCTTGTTTTTTTTTATTTGTACACCAAACCTATTAAACCTGTTGGGAAAATAATGTAAATAAATCACTTTTGAATACCAATGCTGACTGTGACAGGCTTCGGCCTGACATGGCCAGCCGTGCTTCCGCCGCCGCCGGTCTAGACATCGAATCTGTCTAAAAAACATACCCGATGAATGACCCGGTGACGTAACTTTTGTCTACCTTAAGCTGGCAACCCTCTCAGCCGGTTTCTGAATTGAGAAAAGTACAAAATATAAAAAGAAAACCTGTTTAAGTGACGTGTAAGTTCATCTTGAGATGTGTTTAACTTTAAATACTCAATTCCGAAACAGGGTGTTACTCCGACTCCAAGGACCAAATATGGCGAGGTACGTGGTTTAAAGGTTCTAAAGTCCAAAAAATGCTGTTTTGATGCAACTGATGATTTATTACTCGTTCTTAAATACACACTTGAGTCAAAACCTCAACTGATTATTCTTGTATTAAGATATGATTCTTATATATGTTATAGATGAATATGCATACTTGTCACTTTATTTTGATCCAAACAAAGATAGTTAGGAAAAATTACTTCAAAAAAAAAAACAAATAATACTCGTAATTTAAATTAATTGAAAATATCTCACATACGTTTATTTTTGTTTACTGATTTTAAGACAACCGTAAATAGTGTATATAGCTTTTTCTAATAATTAAACTTTTATAATTTTCTAATTTAATGGTCGGCAACTACCTGTATAATATTCCTTTAACATTTCTCCAGTAATTTAGACTTTCTAACTTATCTTTTTAATGTAAGAACTGACGACACTGAAATATGTTCCCTAACATGTATACATAATAAAGTTATTTATCAGTAGGATTTTCATCTTAAATGTCTTAGAATATCTGAATACGGAATTAATTTAACCTTAAAGGTCATGTTTTCAAATACATCGAGGTCAAACGTGAGATGAATATTGAGAGATTGTGTAAACGAGTAAGTAAATAGCGCGTGATTTTGTTAAGCTAAATAAATTTAAATTTCTAACAAAATATTGGTAAACAAATCGTGCGCTTATTGTCTGATAAGTCAAGGTAATTTAAGCTTTGTTTTCTTTTTTCTTACCCTGGGAAAATGCATTATATAGGGCCGGCTCGTTCATATAGGCAAACTAGACATAGGGCGGCATGGTATGGAAAATTCTCAGATGATCTCATTTGCAAAAAATAAAAGAGATAAGGATAAGTTGTGGTGATCTACAGAGACACATAGAAAAGCCAATATAAAAGGTTAAAGAAATAAGAAAGAGCACGAAGATAATAATTGTATTAACTTACGAACTATGTGAAACGATGAGGGGACCCTAACAGAGAAGAATTTAAACAACTTGTAGAGGAAAAGAAAAGATGCAAATAAAAGGCTTGACAAGAAAACAATCGGAAACATCAGGACAATGCTTCTTGTGATTGTAACTGTAAACGACAATAGGAACCAGACATAGAAAGCTGACCTAAAAACCTTCCTTGAGCACCAGAAGATACAGATCGAAGAAATAGCAAAGCTTAAGCCGGAACAGGAAAATATGAGGCAAGATGCAAAAGTATACGAAGAAGAAAGTAGGAAGAACAAAAAGGATTTATTGAAAAGATTAAAGGAGCAGAAAAAGGTAAAGATCGAAATCAAGGAGAAGAAAAAAGAAAAGGAGATAGAGCATAAGGAAAGGAAATCAATTGAGATAAGTAAAAGAGAAGCATGGGAAGAAGAAAGCAAGCAAGAAATTAAGCAAAGATGATAAAGAAATTAAAAATATAGTAAAGTAAAACAATAAAAACATAGAAAAGGTTATTAAAGGAAATAGGAAGGGAAATTAAAATGCAGGAAAAATAAAATTAACAGAAGACATAAAAATATGCAAAAATAAGTTGAGGAAAGAGTAACAAGGGAGAGGGAAAACATAAGAAAAGTAGTAGGAAAGCATAGAGAACCAAGGGAGGTAGGAACATATGCGGATAAGGTAATTCAATGGACAAGGAAAAAACGAGAGGTGTTCGAAGACATAAAAAATTCACAGACAATAGTATTATTGTCTCTATGTCTACTAGGAGACAATTGTTGTATACTCGTAATAGTAATATATACTAACTCATTTGGAATTCAGTAACAAAGTACATGAATATTTGCATATACATATACATATTCTTGTTAACTCGTAGAACTGTGGTTTTACTTGACTTTGCTTTAACGAGTTAAGTTTATCCGTTGCACGTTTTCGTCAAGGTCAGATCAAAGTTACACTGGTACCCCTACGTCGGCGTTAGGCGATAAGCTTTGATTAATTATATCCGCTGGACACCTAGCGTCATATAGTACAGGGTCTGCAGTCTCGACGAAGTTTGCGTTCACAATCTAACCTTTATTGGATTTTTACTTTATTGAACCAACAAACAGTTTCACATTGAAACTATTTAAACGAATAATTAATTGTTATGCCTTCTGTTTGCGAAATCAACGCCGTTGACCACAAGTAGTCTGATACATTTTGTCCTATGTGGTTGAGAACAAATGTGAAATTATTCCAGTATTTTAACAGTTAGGGTTAAGTAGATATATAAATGCCAAGCAAAAGCTACCATAAGTACATTTCGAAATTTGCAAAGTTTGTTAGTCTATTTTTTTATTAACTAGCTGTTCCGACAGAACTGTCACATGCAACCTCTAATCAACTTGAAGGCATATTAAAGACAATCTCAACGCGTTTTTGTATTGTTTTTATTTACGTCAAATGTTTTACAGCTGGGGATCAAGCGATTTGTATGAAAAGGAAAATCAGTGTTTTCACAATTTCACTTCTATTTTTAATATTTTTTTGCTTAAGTACCTTCCTTAGACTTCGTCAAACACAAAAAAGGAAATAAGCCAAATCGTATTATCTATCTTGAGTTTTGCACTTGGCAACATATTTAGCGATTCATTTTAATGTATACAGATAGATATAGGACAAAACTCACTTTGGATTTGTTCCCTTAACTTGAAATATACAGACACGTACGAATAAGAACGCACGTATAATTCCAATTCTCTGAGTACTGTGATAGCTCACAGACTGAAGGCGAGTTAGTCGAGCGCACTAGTATTGCGAGGACTGTTCGTGCGTTCATGTGTCCAATTCTCGATTATTTATTATCTGCAATGTTTCATAGAAATAACAGTATTATTACAAAAGTCTGTAGGGTAAAAAAAAAGGTGTCATTTGATTAAACTACTATGCTTTTACAGCGCTATGCACGACGTCTAATTCGAGGTTGTTTTTTACAGAATAGCTCTAACAATATTTACAACCATACGTATCTGTAAAGTAAGTCGATATTGGGACGAAAAATGTTTGCGATGATTTAACATACACAACGTTAAAAATGTAACCTCAAACGTATCTTTGAAGAACTATTCCCGCATAGTGTATGGTGATGAAATTGAGACGCTCACGAATCTAAATATTCATAAATTTAAAAGTTCCTCAAAGATATATGAATGAAGCTATGTTAACCAATTTCATCTAACCAGTTATGGAAGACAAGAACCCAGAGAAAACAACACTTGGCGTCAGTATCAGTACTAGGAGAAGTAATAAATGTGGAAGTGAGGAAACCTCAATGCGTAAACATCGGCTTGATACACGTGTAATTGGACAAAAATCGTATGTTACAGCTACATTACGTAATGCAATTTCTAAACATTTATATTTATTTTCCGTCTTTCACTTGTGTACATTACAATAAAGCCATCTTTGGCCACAGACTCAATCTGTCAAAACTACTGAACTGATTTAATCTGACAAATTAAATCAGTTCAGTAGTTTCTAAGAAAATTTAATGTTACAGACAAGTAGATAGACATATCGAAAGACAGAGAATTGAGCGATCCTAATCATTTTAATGGTCCCTTTCCTTATATAATTATTCGTAATAATTCATGGATGTATTCAATAATATTTTATCTTAATAAAAAATCTCTCGAGTTACATTTGAAATGAGATTATAAAATACAAAATTTCTGGCGTTTATTGTTAAGACTCAATTATTTCAATTACCTGTCGAAACATAATGATAGTCTCTTAAACTATAGTTAAGAGAAACATCGGTGTTTTTATGCCGATTATCGTTGGATCCGATAAGCCAAGATCTATGGAGCCAATTCACGAAATTCTGCTTCAGTTATGGCGAAGCCTTGCGTATTAACATATTGTCTTTATAAAGATGCTTTACTTAAAAGGAAAGTTAAGCCATATCTTAAATATTTTTTGTTTACTTTAATATTTTACGTTAGCCAAATGTATTCAAGAATTTATTCAGAATGTTAGATGTATTTGTGTTTAAAACAACAATAATAATATTCACATAGAATATTAATAAAAAAATATACGACTTGTGAAATATTTTCTTGACGTATTCAAGATTAAAAACAAAACTATTGCTCCCATTCCGATAAAATTCACATGAGACCACCTTAAACCCATAAGCTTTCGAATAAAAAAAAATTTACAATTAGTGTAGAAATCGGTAAAGGTATAAAAAACACATATTCTTCGAACATAGTATATCTGTATTTTCGATTTTGATGTCGTTTAAAAATCATTAAAGTATTGTTGACCAAGCAAAAGTAAAAGTACCTAATTAAAATACAGGAAACTTCTAGGAAGCTAGTTCTAATATTACATTTTAATATAAAAAGGATACATGTGATTGCTTGTTTACATTAAATAAGCTCCGGAACTATATTGTACTGGACATATTTAAAAAATTGTTTAACCTAAAGGTAACAATATTATACGCGGATACACTGGTGACACAGGCTGTAATTTATGAGAGACGAAG